GTTTCCCCTACAAGCAGTAACCAGATCAAAAGAAAAGGTAGTTTTCTTGGCCAGTCGCTTTTTAATAACACAAATCAAATCAAGTTCTTTCCTGCCGATTACTGACATTTGTGGCTAGGTATTAAACTGAAACCATTGTATTTGGCTGCAGGTAATGAACAATTTAGTAGGTACTTATGAAGGACATGTTGGTTCTTCCAACTTAATCCTGCATTAAATTAATAATTGTTCTCTGTTTCTCCCTTTAGTCTTCCCTGGCTTTCCAGATGAGAGCAAATAACTGTCTTTTCTGTGAGCCAGTAAGAGCATCCTAGCCATGCAGTTTATAAGGGTGCAGGAAATAAAGACAGCAACAACAAAACACAAACTCGACTGCTTCTGTGGGAAGTACTTGAATGTTACTTAATTCAGAATGAAGCATAGGGGGCAGGAGTTAAAACACACTGTGTACCAAAACCCTCAAAAGCAATGGAATTTTCTCCTAAAAAACCCCTAAACCCTCCCTGTGCTCCATCCCCCTCCACTGCCTCAGTACCAGGGTCCTCCAAAACAGTGCTGCTGGGGCAAGTAACAACCAGAAAGGGAAACCTTGATTTCATGTTCAAAGTTAAATGAAATGCTAAAAAAGGTGAAGATCCATCATACTTAATTCCCTCTACATGTTCTTGTTTTAGTAATCTAAGATTATTATTGAGGAGCGTAAGGAACACGTGCTGAAGCAGTGCTGGCACGGAGAAGTACTGAGCCGTGACAGCAGCTGAGGATCTCGGGAGCTGTGCACGTAGGGAAGCTGACGCACAGTAAACACTTAGCTGCTCTGCAATAACTTCCCATGCGGACACTTGGAGCTCTCTTGGCTTTCAAAGGCACTAATGCCGATTTGGCGTGTGTTAGGAATGTCCACCTGGAGAATTAGCAAAGATCAGCTAACAGCGCTATAAAATTTTGTCCTCTTCCCGGCCGTTGACTGCACATTCGCTGGTTGTTCCCGTTGCAATGTGGGGTGCCCCCGGTTAGCCTCTCTCAAAGGCCTTCTCAGGTTAAAGAAGGTTACAGGGCACTCAGAGGAAAGTGTGAGTTGTTGGGCCAGGGCTTTAAGCAAGCTGTTGCAGCATCATTACCAGACAGTCGCTTTCCCGAGGTCCTGTACACCCAGCAGCACACTGGTTGTGACAGCAGTCACTGGGAACCTTTCCCCTGCAGCGGCCAGAGCACTGCTGGGCACAGATGACTTTTGTTACTGAAAGACAGAGGAAAAAAAAAAAAAGGAATTAGAGTACTTTTAAACTGTGTTTGCTGCAACGAGATCAAAAAATACCGAGAAAACGTCTGCTAGAGAATCTGTGCTCGAGTTTCTCCATGGGACGGCGTATTCTGTCCCCACGGTCGGGCCACGGCTAGGGGAGGGTGAGGCCAGGTGGGAGTAGCTGAGATTTCTCCTGGGGGGGTCTGAGAGATAAGGCGCTGCAGTCAGCTAATCACCTCGGGGTAAAAGCTCAAATCTGGCCTGGTGCTGAGCACTCTGGTCACAGACAGAAACTACCTGCTGTTTAGCAAGAGCGTTCAGGTGCCTGCGGCATCAAGGCCTAAACCTGGAGAACCTCTGTGGAGTGGCTGCACTTTACAGCTGGGTAGTAGAGCAGGATTTTGGCTCTGTTTTATTGAGAGAACCTGCTATTATTGGTGCTAGCTTTGGGAAAAACAGCATGACAGGAGAACTGCCAGGACTCTGGACTATAACGGGAAAGAGGACATAGCTGATGCGGCATTAGGATCCCTTCAATATACTACAATTATTCCTGAAATTTGCAGAGAGAAGGGACCCACTCAGCAAACCAATTTCATACGTCCAGTCTATTATTTTTATTTAGGCTTCAACTCCTTGGCCACATTTTATCTTCGTTACTCAACTCCCATGGGGTTTGCACCAATGCAACTCCAAGGAAAAACTGGCTCCGAACCAGTTTTTTTGCAGGAAAGTAAAAACTGCCCGCAAGATTTTGTTTAGAATCAAAATCATCTGAATTTGAATATCAAAGCAGAGAAAACAATAATCAGAAGAATTAAAGAAAAAAACAAAACAGAAATGAATGGCTAGCATGTGTCGGTTCACAGGCCAAAGTTAGACTGTGTGCTCTTGACAAAAAAATTACTGTCCCATGAGCTCGGACGATCAGTGCCTGAACACTCAGTCAGGGGAACCGGACTGCTGATCTGCTGCGTTACAGCACCGCAAGCATTTTGGATGCGCAGTAGGATAACCGCTACCAACTTCCCAGTCGGGCAGAAATGAGTTACAATACCATCAAGAATTCCTGCAAGTCAGAAACTTGCAGGAAACTTCTCTGTTGTTAATTAACAGAGAATTATCAGAAAATGTAACCTGCTTACAGAGAATACAATAGTGCTCTTTTTTTTAAAATCACACTTCCTATCTTTTTCCATTACACACTTTTGTATCCAAGCTGTATTATTTCATTTTTCTTGCAGGCCTGTAAGCAAGATACTGTATTTTCAAGGAAAGAGATTATCGCCACAATATGCATTAGCCTCTCTGATAACAACTCCTCCGTTGAACCAGAAACAGGGGAATAAAAGGCACATTGTTCTACAGGAACAGCATTTTGATATCATTTTTTCATTAGCAGGGGAGTAAAACAGCTCATCACTTTGATAGCAGTTGACTAAAGCTTCCTGCTGGAAACATATATCACGGAAAATGTTTATATTTCATACAGAATATCCCACGTTCTTTCAAGGAGAAAGAGATACATATCACATCAAACTTTCCCACATAAGGAAATGTGGGATACATTTTCAGCTGGCCGGATTCTTAAATGTTTTAAGAGGAGAGCCAGAGCTGGCAAACGGCTTTGTTTTATGCACTCTAAATAATCCTCTTGAAGTCAGCGAAAGTTTGTAAATGCTGAAGGGCCTGAGCGCAGGATTGAGACCTGAAGTTTTGCAGGCCCATGGGACAGCTGTGCAGTGTCAGCAGTGGGGATCAACCTGGAAAGAGCTTTGTGTGTGCAACCCCTGTCCACCTCGAAGGGGGTTCAGCGCGCTCGGCAACCGCTGAACGAATTTGCGGAGCCGAGTGGGAAAAACCAAGGCTTGCAGTAACTGGGAGATACATTCATTTTTTTCCTTAAGGTGTAGAAGCTGTATAAAACTTACAGGTTTAAATAATTATTTACGGTGGATAACCTAAGAGAGGATGTTGCTTTCAATTGTGTCAGTGTGGATCAGCAGTCTTGCCCCTGAACTTTGCAGAGCTACACTCACACAAAAGCGGTAGGAAACAAGGCTCAGAAACCATGCATTTTCCTACTTATTATTTTAAAAAAAGGAAACAATGAAGTATCAAAAAAATGCAAGACAGTGTTCCTCCTCAACTTTTCCTTAAGAAGAAATAAAGCCTTGCAAAACCTCAAGCATTTCTGAACAGTCTCCTAGTATCAGGCGAGCATCCTAAATGCAAAATTTTACAGTAAAGCTCACACCACGAAACTGAACAACTTCCTAACCCCAAATCTCTCCATTTACAAAGACTAAAACAACTATTCATTTTCTCAAACCCTTCAAAAGGTCTTCTGAGTACAGTGAGGTCCTGCTACGTAGTGTTATTAGCCATATGAAGGTGACAGTTTGTGTTTAAAATAGAAACCTACAGGGATTCCAAAAAGAATTAAACTAAAATTAAAAAAAAAAATTAAATCAAAATTAAAATCAAAATTAATTTCAAAATTAAAATTAATTAAAATCAAAAAAAACACCCAGCACTATGTTGTTACTTCTATTATTAACCAAAACTATTGTTAAATAGCCTGCAGAGGCTCTCTGCTGGAAACAGCAGCAATGCAAACAATTCACCGTGCAGCTACTGCATCACCTCTTGATATGGTAAAATAACTTAAAAGTGCATATGTTCTCAAGTGCAGAGGGGGGAAGGTTACAGGAGGCAGACAGGAGCTTTCAGTGCAGGAAACAGCTGCAGTCTTTCTACTCTGCGGAAACACCGCATCTGCAGGGAAAGCGAGACCTGAGGCAAATCACTCGGAGGCTTGCCCTGCCGCAGCAGAGCTGCTCCGGAGGAGCCGGCACGGCTTTCATCCCTGCCCCTGCGCTCTTGCACCGGGGGAAGCCCACGTGGACCGGCGCACGATAGAAGGGGCGAGTTTCCGACTCGGCTGCCGTTTGTCATGCAGGGGAAGCCGGCCGCACGTGTCTAGAGCGGGCCTTGAGGAGCCTCAGCACAGCAGGATGCAGCAAAGGACAAGCGTTAAGACACGTGTTGCTACTTCTCACTTGACAGGTAAATTATTCAGTAAATAGCGAATTCGTGTGTTGGTTTGTAGCATCCAAGATACTTTTTAATTGATCTGTAGGCTTACATGTCTGGCAGTTCTCCTCACCGGGGCCCCAGCAGTGCTCCTCGGTACAGTTCGGATGACATTTTGGACCTAAAACACGAGAGTGGAGTTTTTATAAAAACGTTTGTCATTGAAAGCCTGGACTACAACACCATCACATGCATCAGAGCTGTCAGAAAGAAAGTTTTGAGCTTTTAGACTCAGTAATACTAACAGCGAAGGAAGCACCTGTTTGCTCGTGCTTAGAAATTTGAAGAGCGGGACATTAAACCCTTGCCCTTCTTTTGTCATTAGTTTCCTGCATGCAGGTCCCCACATCTCGTAGCAAGCCAGCAGAATACGCAGCAAATTGAGCTCACGAAATGGGGACGTTTCGGCTAGGAACTGGAATCCCAGTGGCTGCTGGAGCGGCCTTGCCGCTCGGGTTTGCACCCAACTGCAAGTCACAACCGGCTTGCGACAGGGGCCGTGTCAGCTACTCGTTACAGGCCACGTGTGAATCAACGTTTCTGAACCATGTGCTTCCAAAAAGAAAACAAAACCAATGAGATTCGCAGGCAACTGGCAGTTATTCTGACCACCGAGAAATGTGGCTTGTCTGCTGTGTGTCCTCCTCTGCCTGCCACCAGAGATGCTGCTCAGCCTCCGACTGCAGAGCAGACAGGCAATCGATGGAGACGCAGAGGGACGGACGCCCCTCTGACCTTTAAAGTTCAGTACAGGTCTCTCATCGCTCATCAGTCCTTTCCCATCCCTCCCTCCTTCCTCTTCCCCTTTGTGCATGCTCGTTTTCTTTTCTTTTCTTTTTTTTGTTTCCTAGTGACAAATAATACGCCAGAGAAACAACTCCTTTTAGATTACCGGATCACTATTAAAAACATAAATGGCTGTCAAAACAGATTAATATGTAATTCACTACACTTAAGAAGCACTTCCTCTTCCAGTGATTCCTCCTGCTAATCACATGTGATTCTCCCTCCCCCTCACTGCCTGTCAAATAGCTGAACAAGTGCCAATACTTGTCCAACAGTTGACTGACTCGGTGTGGGATCAAAGAACTGTATATATATATATATTTTTTTCTAAGTTTTAAAGTTAAAGCTTAACATTTCTATGCTGTTTAGAGCCAGGCTCCTGTGCTGACTTGTATCATTTGTAAGCCCTTGATTACACTGGGGCTCCGCGGAATAGATGTCAACACAGAAGTTGGCTATTAGCTCTCAAGCAATTACGCAACTGGAAGAAGATAAAGAAAATATGCTTTCCGCCAATTTATAGTGCCAGAAATGAAATGCTTAGAAATGAAAATAAACTCTCCTTTCCGCGAAATGACTGGGGATCTTACAAGGGACTAGCATTAATAGCTTGAGCCTGCTCTAAGCATGGACATATGTTACATAAACTTTTAAATACATGCTCATCTCCCAGCTGATCTGAAGCATCACATTTATCTGACTGTGATGATTATTTTTGCAAGGCCTGTCTGTGCAGCCCAAAATATGGGAGCTTCACAGCCCTCACATGTAGCAACTTGAGCCTTAGCATAAAAAGGAACTTAAGCACCACAGGACATCCATGAAGGTACCCACAGGGGTTTTCTAACCCAAAGCCTTACCCTGTAAATAGAAGATGACTGGAAAACAAAGGGGTACACATTATGCTGAGTTGTGCCACTATCCTGGAAGAAACATATACATAAGGTACTTTCTGAAACCAAGGAAAGCTTTCTCAAGAACTTGGCTGAACTATGAGTAAGGACTTAACTGTGATGAAAAATTACATCTTCTGTCAGCGGTGAGGAAAAAAAAGGATTTCCCTTATGACAGGGCTTGACACCCCTGCATGCAAGAATTGGTAGACTTGGAACCCACAGCATAAAAGATGGGTTGTTCATACTCTATTCTGAAGCACATAGCATTTTGGTAAATTAATACTTACAAGAAGACAGGTTCCTTGCAAAATCAAGCACCGTGAGAGGCTTTTTATTTGTGTCAATGATGTCATTCCACAGGACAGTATCCATGTTGCATAATTTTGGATTGTTGCTGATTTTAACACCTCCGTTGAGAATTTCTATGGTGGAAGGAAAAAAAAATTAATAAGCAAAGCAAACTGTGCAAGTCTTCTTTCTCATTTAAAGAAAGGGAAACAAAACACAGATCTCTTCATTGCAGTCACACTATGTTGGCAGAAAAAGACAATGTGCAAGGCACCAGGACACCTGAAGGCATAACTAAGACCAGACTCAGGCAAATCGGTTCTGGAGAAGTGGCTGCTGCAGGATGCCACTAAATCTAGCTTTTCGCCCGGCACCGCCTCCCGAGGCCAGAGATGGCAGAAGGGAATTTGTGCTTACTCACTTCAGCTCGCCGTCCTGCTTCTTAGTGCAGACACTTTTCTCTCTGTATGTGAAGCTACCAAGCCTGGGTGAACTGGGGTGGCAGAAGATCGGACATACAGCCAGTTTTGCTGCCCCTGCTACAGGTGTTGTGACCTCTGGTAGAGGATGATGTGGGCATAAATGGGCACTGATGGTTTGTATGGCCACAGCCTGTCAGCCAGAGACCTTGTGAGACCCTAGCTCTGCAGCCCTTCACGCAGTAACAACTCCCACTGGTATTTAATAGAAAATAGTGAAGCATTTGCACTGGAATAGAATAATGCAAAATAACAAGTGGCAGATATGTTCAAGAATGTTGACTGATTCTTTGCTATCTTGGGACACCCAAACCAATTTCACGGCCCTGTTGATGCCTTGGATTTTCTGGATCTTTTTCCAATGGAAAATTAGGAACTTTATTCACCTTTTGAGGACGGCTAGCTAGAAAGAAAGCAGGCAGAAAACTATGTTCAGATCATTGCTTTTAAAGCAGGATCTAAGAGAAGATCTTCAACAGGATCGTACTACCAATAATCTAACAGTTGAAGTTTTCTTTGCAGGTACCTCCACCTCTCACCCTCCTCTCACCTGATAGCTGTCTCATTGGCAGTTCTCGGAGTCCTTGGGTTTTATTCATGTGGTAGTTGGATAAAACTGCCAGGGCAAAAGAGTTGTCATAAAGCACATTGCCTCGGATGATCTGAAGATTTTCTAGGGGAATTACATCCACCATGTTAAGTGCAATGAGCACGTAGCCCGCAACCTCCTGTATGCTCTGAAAGAACAACAGAAGAAACCAGACGCTTAATCCGTAGCACTCTTCTACAAACCAGGCTTTGCTCCTCTTGATAGAGTTGTCTTCCGGCCCTACCACCACCCAGTCCAGCACTTTTCAATTTAAGAAAAAATAAATCATGTAACCCCATTAAAAGAAAAATCAAGCAAAATATAATCAGAGAGCCATAGGGACTATGTGGAAAACAGCATCAAGAAAACCCGGGTTCATGCTTACATTCTGCATTTGACAGACTTTGTTGTCTAAGAAGGTATAAACTGAATCTAAGAGCAGCTACCACGGGGTCATGCTACAGGCCTAACTAACCATGCTTTGTCTCCAAGAGAGGCCATGAGTGGATGCCTAGCGGGGCATGGTAACAGGGCAAGCATGTATGATGTGGCAACCCTGTCTGATACTTCCCCTGAGTACTCTCCCAACCATCTGCAGCATAGGGACTTGATCTGCTAGAGGCTCATGCACTCTCTCTTCTATATCCCCTTCCTACTGGATCCACCAATCCCAGCAGAGGGTGAGAGCAGGTAACAGTCTCTCCCTTCAGTAATAAATATTAAGAAGACAAGTGAAGCATTGCTCTTGGCTACAGATGAACTCATTCGTCAGTGCTTGCCTTGTATGGTGAAATGTATGCATGTCTACCTCCTACAAAAATCACTGTAAGTGAAAAATCCTCAAACTACCACTTAAGCTATTCTTCCATTCTCTGTAGACTATCAGTGATTTTTCAGGAGATCTGCTATGTTCCTGGGGACACTGAGTTCTACGGTCAAGTTATGCTTGGAAAGAAAAGTGGCAATACCATTGTATTTATAACCCACATGTCTAAAACTGCACTCTCTTCCAGTGTTCTTGCTTGCTACCATAATGAAATGCCTTTTTTCCTTTCTTTATTCCCGGAGGAGGAAAGGTCATATGATGAGATGATTCCTCCAGATTCAGAGGACTGGCCTGTTTATTCACATCTGCTGTGCAAGAGTTCTTTACACCAGATATACACTTACCATGTGAGAAATGCTTCCTCCTTTCCCATCTCTTTCTTTGAAAACCTTGTAATCTGACAACCAGGCACACCAAAAGCAGTGCATTTAAAACACCCTCTTTTAAACATGTCACATACCACTACAGCAGGAGAATGCGTTACAGTTTGAAGGATAAGGGCCTCTGTGCCTCAAAATCTGCCATCAGTGGGTTGCTACCCAGTTTGTGATTTGCTTTGGCCAACATTATGACAAAGCTTTTTGCCCTCTGAGGAGTGAGGCAATGGAATAAGCAGCTAGTAATATCTGCAAAAAGGAAGAAGCGTGTCTACTTGGCAGCCAATACAGGTTAGTAGGTGCTCGAAAAGCTATTTCTTAAAGAATATGATTTATTATTTTGGAGTTCAGCATATCCTGGAGCCAACAGGTAGACTGAAATTGAGACTTGTGATTTCTCAAACTTACAACATCTAACTATGCTTTTGGAAAGCGTGCCTGCTTGCCACAGAATTTTATACACAGATTATTCTTTGCATTCAAAAACAAATTAAGAATCCTTTTAGCAGGAGAATTCACATTGTCCAAAAACACTAACCTTCAGGAAAGAGAGATCGCGATTGTGCTCCACATACGTAATCTCTAGGTTGCTCAGTACCACCTCACAGTTGTTATACATCCTCTGCAGGCTGGTGAAATGGTCTTCCACATGCCCCAGCTGGGTCAACTTGTTGTTTGTCCCTTGACAAACTGTGGAGAAGAGAAGAAAGCTTCATGAAGGAAAGTAAGAATAAAAACAGAGTAAACACTTGTCCATCCCTCTTCATAAACATTAGCATAAGTGAAGCATCAGCACAGACTGTCGTAAGAAGCAGCACTGTCTCTATTTTGCATCACTCTAGTAGCAATAGTGAAGGGAGCATCCAATATTTCCCAGGTGCAGAAATAATAGCTGCAATAACCTTCCTTCATTTTTTGACTTTAAAAAAAAAAAAAAGACGACGAGGTTTGCTGTACCACGAGCATAACTCAAACCTTGAGGAGAGGGCACTGATTCAGTGCCATCAAACACTATTCAGAGTGGACTCAAAGGTTCAAAGTGGCTCTGGAGGGTGATGGCTAAAGATGTTATGGATTTCCCTGAGGAGCCGCTTAGGATAGCTCAGCTACCTTGGGTCTACAGGGCAGCCCAGTCGGTGGCAGGGAGGAGAGAAGGGTTTTTTCCTGCCAGTCCCCACAGGCTACAAGTCTGGGATTTAAGAGCAAACTGAACCTCCAGAGCTCACACATCTCTTGCTGCTCTGATATATGGTAGTACAGTAGACTCAAAAGATCTCCTCAGCTTTGATATATAAATCCAAGCCTGCTTTGCCAGTGGGGAAGGAAGTGGTCCCACACAGAGCGCCATGAAGAGTACAAACATTTATAATGGCAGGACGGAAAAATTACCCCCCATCTGAAACTCTATTACTCTGCTTTGCCAAAACTAGTGGAATTGTCAAAAATTATCACCACTGCATTCGACTGCAACAAAAGAACAGCGTGCAAATTACTTTAAATAATACCCTCCACCCCCAAACCCCAGGAATGCTGTACTCATCCAGTCATTCCCTGGGTTACCTCTATATAGCTCAAATGAAAACATACCTGTGCTACACTAAGACGGAGGAAAGGAGAATGATATACAAGACAACACAGTCAAAGACTTCACAGCCCAGCACCTTCCAGATGGAAAGTTTCTGCCTAGCTTGGAGATCTGTCCTTCAGTGGGAGCAACAGTAGGCCTTTGTCTCATCATCTCTGTAACGAAACCCAAGCCTGACCTCGTGCCTTTCCACAATACACTGAAAGAATTGCATTCTCTTAACTTAGAGGAAAAAACAAACGAAATGATAATTCTCTTTGCATTTTGCACAGCCATAGTTCCTAGAAGCACCAATCACAAACTGGAACACCATTGCATGGGGCGCTACAAAGCAAACAACATAGACTCTTGACAAAGCTATGGCAACGGCTTTCAGATCCAGCAACCTAAGAAGACATCTGTTGGAGATTTACCAAACAATCAATGTTTTCAAGGCACAAAAATAACTTAATAAGCAGCAATGAAAATATACTCATCAATCGTCAAAGCCATTTACTGAACATGTGTTACTTCTCAGTACAGTCGTCACCATTAAGGAGCTACAACGGTAACAAATGAAGTACTCTTTGTCCATGCTTAAAACAAGCTATTTGCTCACATTCCACAGTGATTTCTTATTATAAGTCAACAGAAACATTATGGCATTTGGGATCAGAGTGGCAACTGTTAGGAAACGGGGAAAGTTTAACAGGGACTGTGATTACACCGCCTAAGCTGCTTGTTACTACATGAGGATCAAGTGTAGAAAATAGCCCTTTTCATATTTGCCTACAATTTTTGCAAAGGATGAGAAATTCCTAGGCAGGATTTTCTGCTCCAGTTTCAAACTTAACTGTTCCAATATGTTTAAGTTTCAAAAATCTGCATGTGAGTCCTTTTGCCTCAAGTAGGAGGACTGCGAATTATCAGCTAGAGTCAGAGAAGGGGTCTTGTTCTGTGGAGTGGTCACATTTGAACGGCAGAGAGATGGAAATATTGCCGTACGCTAATCTGTCCCAGAAGATGTGTTGCTGTTGGGCATGGGAGTGAAGAGGCTTTGCATGGGCTGGGCATGTACAAAATTCTCCCGGAGATCTTCTTGAATTTTAAGCAATATTATCCTCCAACCGAGGCAAAACACAATAACAAAAGATTCTCAGACAAAATCTCAGCTCAGATTCTCCATTTGAGGGTCTCAGATCTGACCTCCAACAGGGCGCGATTTTGAAATGCACTCAAACATGATGCAGAAGCAGGTAAAGTTTAGACTGCTCATCGAAAAAAAGTAATTTAAGCCAGCCTGTTCTGACTTTGAGATTCCCCAAGTAGCCGGATGCTCCCCCTGAACGCCATGCGTTGATGACAACGGTCTGTCCCGGGGCTCGAGGCAGGCTCTCCACAGAAGCTGCTGTTTTTACGTTACAGCTCGAACCAAAGGAAGAGAGGGAAGGGGGCACCCTGACTCAGACCGCACCATGGGACAAGCCGGCTCAGGAAAACTAACCCCGCCAGCAAGAACGAGCAGAGTTTTGCTGGGCTAGCCACTCGCATCTGCTTCCCCTGGGATCACACAAGGGCTACAGCCCTGAACTGGGCTCAGCCATGTGGAGAAATGCAGCCTTTTCCGCCACCAACTCCTTCGGGCCTGATAGGGCAGACTGAGGACACGGTTACTCATGCACTTCTCTCGCTCAGTTGCCCACGGGGCCACAACAGTGAACCATGCCAGAGAGTCGATCCAAGCTACAAATAATGCAGAACAATAAATAAGTAAACAGATAGCGGGTATTTTTAGCTCAGGAAAGCTCCCCGAGCTGCTTCGCCCCGCAAGCTGCTGGAGCAGGGACGACTGTGGGGACGGTGCGTGGGCGAGCAGGAAGGAAGAGCCTGGAGAGGGGGCTCGCCAGCGCGCGAAACCGCAGAAGGAAACACAGACGTAGTGGGCTCTGCAGAGCTGTCAGGTTTGCCCTCCAGCACCTACTTCCTTCCCCATGTTCGGTGGGCAGAGAAGTTTGATGGCTTTCTACCAAAAAAACCTGGTCCTTGGTCACATGCCAAAACCCCATGTCCTCTCCATCAGGCTCATGGTGTCCTCTGCACAGGGGGAAGAAGATGCAAGTGGGTCGATAGTTAAGATCCGGGGAGCAGAAGAAAATGGGTTGCTGCTATGAAGGAGATCTCAACAGTATATGGCTGTCAACAGTCAGACAGGGCCACCCCTTCCCGGTAACGCACCATTTTTCATTTGCTCAAAGAGATAGAGTGTTAAATCCTTGTTTGCTGCAAACAGATCTAAGTAGATTAAAAGCCAGAACCCGTTCACAGCAATATTTACTGGAGGAGAACGTGGGTCATAAGCAGCATATGTCGAGTAAACAAAACCAAGTTAAACAAAAAAAGCTAAGCCCGCACAATACAGATACTGAACTCAGACAGAGGTGTTGAATAATTTCCCAAATAAAACGTTTTGAAAGAAAAGACAATGGTTTGGTAGCATGTGATGATTAATACTATTCCTGTAATTTCTTTGCTTACGAAAACTATGTTCTGAAACGATAAATGCTGTAATTAATTGCATATAATGCTATAGTGTGAATGCTGTTCTAGCAAGAGGGGGAAAAAGCCCAAACTGCACTGTCATCAGTTCTTCAAAATTAAACAATGCGGACTGGGATTCCACATGTTTCAGGTAATAATGGCAGGTAATTTTGTCTGGCTTATGAAAAGCTGCATTTGTGCTGGCCATGTAGGCAGTGAAAATAATAGCAGCACAGCCAGTACAGTACTCGCTTCTCTCTGCAGAGACTTAAGTGGGATGCGTACATAAGTGGGTGGACAAACAATGTTATGATTTAACCCCTATTAATCTTGAGGTATTTGCCCTCTAAAGGACGAATTTTGATGCCATATTCATTCATTATATAATTTTGTTTCAATGTGTAACACGTACAGCTCTATCCAGTTTTGGAGTTAGTGATGGGTATGGATACTTCCATGGTACTGTTGGGTACCATGACAATATATGCCACCTGCTTCTTTACGCAGCTCGCATGGGGACACTTACACACAGCTGCAGCACATTTCTGTTATAAAAGAGAAAAGAAACTGGAGAGGTTCCCTTATCAAAATTTAGAGTCAGGATGTCCCTGAACAGCAGAGAAGCTGAGATCCAGATCTGAACTTTGAGGCACAGGCTAATCTTAGAAAGAAGCCAGCTTTGCTCTTATCTGTTATGTTCATATATCAAAAATATAACCAGCCTGGAAAGTTTTACACAGAGGCGTCTTCCCAGGAGGTTGCCGCTGTCAGCGGCAGCACTACGACGAGGGCTGCAGCCTGGGAGCCTGGCGCTCTCCTACTCCAACCAGGGTGACCCACCGGCCCTGGCAGAGCCCCGGCCACCATCCCAGGACACGGACGTAACCCCAAGTGCCGGCTGACCAGGCATTTCTTTCCGTATGATGCTGTTCTCAGCGGGTTTGCTGCACTTTCTAAATGCCAAAGTGACATGGTCTTTAATCAGTCACAGTATTCCCTCCACAAATGGCCTAAAAATACAAATTTTACTGAAATGATGCAAAGTGTCAGGTGCTCTATAAGAGAGCAGTGGTAAAACAGCCCAAAAAAGAGGCACACTGTGCAGATACACGTGTTTCTTCTTCAATATGTAAACCAAATTTTAGTGCTTACGGGGGGTTGACTGCCTTGGATACGAAAATATCCTCTGCCTGCAGACCTAGTAAAATGCCTCTTCCCCTTCATTGCCTCAAGCTTGGCCTTAAAGGAGTATTTCTAGGTGATGTGACCAGGTTCAAGCTCTAGGACCTTCCGCCCCTCAGCTCTTGAAGACAGTTCAGTAAGGGTGCCAATTTCTGCTGATCCCACTCCTGCACAAAGACCTGGAGCAAACCCAAAGCTTTTCCTAATTCACCTTTTCCACAGGTGACATTAGGGACCCAGAAAACCATCCGTCTGTAATGCTAACCGATGCAGGAAATATAGTGCCTCAAATCCATTCTATCTCAGATTAAAAAAATTGTTCCCTAAGGCAATTGCCCTGATACCAGTGAAATTGGTTTTTATATTTTCCCTAGGAAAACCTACAGTTACTGAAGCACCAATCCTA